TAAACCCTAAACCCTAACCTCAAGCCAAGGTGGCTCGACTTCCATGATCTCGTGGCGGTGGCTGCAGGCGACTCCACCGACTCCGTGCCACTCGGCACGAGAGGGAACGATGCTGACTTCAAGCATGGTCTTTGTAGTTTTTTTTTTTTTTNNCCCAGGGCTCCAAGTATACAAATGGGACCTACTTTGGGGTCTAAAGTCTGCAAATGGTGCCTACTTTGGGCCTTTTGGAGCTGCAGAGCTTGTTCAGGGCTAAGGTTTGGATAGCTTAGGGTTTAGAGTTCTATGGGGTAAATTAAAGGGTTCAGGTATGTTCAGGATGTGGGGGTGTTATAGGGTTTTGCTCGAGTTTGGTGCGTGTCTTGGCACTACTTGGAGGCCCAAGGGACTTAGTAAGTAGGTTATAAGTAGAGTTACAAGCACCCTAAATGGAGTTATCCCAATTATAAAGCCAGTTATAACCGACTTACTAACCCAGTTATAACCGACTTACTAAGTCCCCTGGGCCTCCAAGTAGGGGTGCCTTGATGGGGGATTCCAAGAAGGATCTTTGAGTGAGGCTTCTCTTGCAGAAGCCCTGAGAAGGCAGGGTGTTAAGTTACTTGGACACCGCATCATCAGCTGAGTAGGTAACTGTAATATATATCTTTTTGAAGCAGGGCGGTGTAGATGGAATACTTCGATACTTTAAAGATCAGCTGATAAGGCCACGGAGCTCGGCAACAAGGTAGAAGATAGCTGTAGGATTTAGGATTATCATGTACCCCACGAGCCTTCGGGTTGGATGCATTTGGGGCGCGTGGACAAGCGCCCGCTGCATTTCGGGCGCGTGGGCGTTTCAGAGCCTCAACAAGTTATACATGTTGTCAAAGTTGTACAACTTCAACATGTCCAGAAGTAGTTCCAAAAGTTCCACAAGTTATACAAGTTCTAGAAGTTCTACAAGTTCTAAAAGTTCTAAAAGCTGTAAAAGTTCTAGAAGTTCTAAAAGTTCTAAAAGTTCAAAAAGTTCTAAAAGCTCTAAAAGTTCTGGAAGTTCTAGAAGTTCTAAAAGTTCTAAAAGTTCTAGAAGTTCTAAGGTTCTAAAAGTTCTAAAAGTTCTAAAGGTTCTAAAAGTTCTACAAGTTCTAAAAGTTGTAAAGGTTCTAAAAGTTCTAAAAGTTCTAAAAGTTCTGAAAGTTCTAAAAGTTCTAAAAGTTCTCAAAGTTCTAAAAGTTCTAAAATTTCTAAAAGTTCTAAAATCTCTAAAAGTTCTACAAGTTCTAAAAGCTAAAAGTTCTAAAAGTTCTAAAAGTTCTGAAAGTTCTGAAAGTTCTGAAAGTTCTAAAAATTCTAAAAGCTCTAAAAGTTCTAAAAGTTCTAAAATTCTGAAATTTCTAAAAGTTAAAAAATCTTTAAAAGTTCCACAAGTTCTACAAGTTCTACAAGTTCTAAAAGTTCTAAAAGTTCTAAAAGTTCTAAAAGTTCTAAAATTTCTAAAAATTCTAAAAGCTCTAAAGGTTCTACAAGATCTACAAGTTCTACAAGTTCTAAAAGTTCTAAAAGTTCTACAAGTTCTAGAAGTTCTAGAAGTTCTACAAGTTAGAAAAATTTCTAGAAGTTCTAAGGTTCTAAACGTTCTAAAAGTTCTAAAGGTTCTGAAAGTTCTAGAAGTTCTAGAAGTTCTAGAAGTTCTAAAAGCTCTAAAACTTCTGGAAGTTCTAGAAGTTCTAAAAGTTCTAAAAGTTCTAGAAGTTCTAAGGTTCTAAAAGTTCTAAAAGTTCTAAAGGTTCTAAAAGTTCTACAAGTTCTAAAAGTTGTAAAGGTTCTAAAAGTTCTAAAGGTTCTAAAAGTTCTGAAAGTTCTAAAAGTTCTGAAAGTTCTCAAAGTTCTAAAAGATCTAAAAGTTCTAAATGCTCTAAAAGTTCTAAAAAATTCTAAAAGGTTCTAAAAGTTCTAAAAGTTCCAAAAGTTCTAAAAGTTCTAAAAGTTCTAAAGGTTCTAAACGTTCTAGAATAGTTCTAAAGGTTCTAAAAGTTCTAAAAGCTCTAAAAGCTCTAAAAGCTCTACAAGTTCTAAAAGTTCTGAACGTTCTAAAAGTTCTATTAAGTTCTAAAAGTTCTAAAAGTTCTGAAAGTTCTAGAAGTTCTAGAAGTTCTAAAAGTTCTAAAAGTTCTAAAAGCTCTAAAAGTTCTAAAAGTTCTAAAAGTTCTAAAAGTTCGACAAGTTCTAAAAGTTCTAAAATTTCTAAAAGTTCTAAAAGTTCTACAAGTTCTACAAGTTCTACAAGTTCTACAAGTTCTAAAAGTTCTAAAAGTTCTGGAAGTTCTAGAAGTTCTAAAAGTTCTAAAAGTTCTAGAAGTTCTAAGGTTCTAAAAGTTCTACAAGTTCTAAAGGTTCTAAAAGTTCTACAAGTTCTACAAGTTCTAAAAAGTTCTAAAAGTTCTAAAGGTTCTAAAAGTTCTAAAAGTTCTAAAAGTTCTTAAGGTTCTAAAAGTTCTAAAAGTTCTGAAAGTTCTGAAAGTTTTGAAAGTTCTAAAAGTTCTAGAAGTTCTAAAAGTTCTAAAAGTTCTGAACGTTCTAAAAGTTTTGACATGCACACATGTGTATGTATATCTATATACATGTTTACATGTATATATGTATACATGCATATCTGTATACATGCATATATGTATACATG